CGCTTCCTCCTCCTCCTCCTCCTCCTCCTCCTCCTCCTCCTCCTCTTCCTCTTCCTCCTCCTTCTTTTCCTTCTCCTCCTCCTCTAGGACCACTGTACACTCAGCTTCTTTACCTACTATGGTATCTGACCTTGATAGACTAGAATTACTCTTTCCACACTTTGTAAAATGATAATATCATGAAAATGTTGAACAGATAACCAATGTACTGAACAGCTTCAACATCAGAGCCTTGACCCATCACTGTCATTCTTGGGAAATGTTTGCGTCTAGTATGGTATCATTATCAGTGGGTCTTTTAAAATCACAATGCTGTTACTTTTTTGGCTGCTAAAAATTGTTGCAAACCTGGAAACTGGGTGTTTAAACTGTGTGTGTGTCTGCGTGTGTGCATGTGTGTTTTATATGTCAGAAAAATAAACAAGGCTCTAAATCCTATTATAACCAAAATATATGCAAATTTTTCATTTGACAGGAGAATTGCATCCAAAATATGTAATGAATTCTTTAAAGAAGAAAACAAACAACATAATTAAGAAATGGGCAAAAAATATAAAGGGACACCTCACCAAAGTGAGACAGGTGGCAAGTAAATATATAAAATATATCTGCTATCACTTATCTATAAGGTAAGTAAATTAAAACCAAAGTAAGAGAGATGCTGAGAACCACGTGAACCAATGCTTCTATTCAGAAAGCTGGCTGGTGTTAAACAGAGAAGAGCCAGATTTTCAGTTCAAGTCTGAACTCGAGTAAACAGTGCTGTTCCAGCTCAAAAAAGCCGGGCGGGAGTTTTCTTTACTAATGGGAAGGTTGGACTTTTAGTTCTATTCAGGCCTTCAACCAAGATCACCTACATTATGGACAGAAATCTCCATTACTCAGTTTATTGATTTAAATGCTGGTATCATCCCAGAATGCTCTCATATGTGTGCCCAGAATAATTTTTGTCCAAACATCTGGGCATGCCATGGTCCAGTCATGTTGACTCATAAAATTAATTTCACAGCTGTGAGGTCACAAAAAATGTAGGTGGAACTTAATCATATATTCTATTTTTTTAAATAGCCAGAGAAAGCTATATACTGTAGGATTCCAATTTCATGATATTCTAGACAAAGTGAAATCATAGAGACTGTATGGTAATAGCCAGGGGTTCTCAGGAAGACTAGTGTTTAAAAGACAACACATAGTGGTAAAATATTTAGTATGAGTTTCTCAGAACTCACACAACTTTATGGCTCCAAAATGCACCTTAATGTATTCAATTTGAAAAATGACAATCATTCAGCAGTTCAGAGGATCCAAGGATTAAACAAAGACTATGTTATAAAGTTCAATGATAGGATATAACCTTACTGAAGGTTTGGGCTAGTATATACTGACATAAGTAAAATTGGAACTGAATAGCAACTGTAACATATTATAAAAGCACTCTATTTTAATAGGAAATATTTTCAGTGGGAAGTACAACCTAACAAATTTGGTTTAAAAATAGCCAGTTCGCAAATATTCCAATCTCCCTTACGCTTACATCCTCCCCCATATCATGCAGTTTTTCTAAGATGCTGGATGACTTATTTATGATATATTTATATTTATTGTCATTTCTTCTCTTTATTAGAATATCCGCTCTATAGCAGCCTCTTGGCCTGGATAAATGTAAGTTCTCTGTACATTTTGTTGAATCATTTTTACTTTAATTGAACAGGCTTTGATAAACAACAATCTAATGCAGGAAAAAGAAGTTGGTGTGAACACTTTAGACTCAGCCAATCCAGGAATGAGCCTTATCTTTAACACTTACTTATTTTGTAATCTTGGGAAAGTTGTTAGAAAATTAGCAAGGGGAACTATCATGGGATATGGATAAAAGGTAAGTTTAAAATATTCCTTAAGCTTCTCTCTGTCATATCCTTATATTTCATTTTCTTTTGGAACTAAGGCTGGAACTTTGGTTTTGTGCCATTAATTTTAGTACTACTAAAGAAAACAATGAGTGAGATAGGAAAAAAATTCTATTACAGATATTTTAAATCTCTAAAGATGTTTCAAATATGATTTCATTTGTGAAAACAGTATTTGAACAGCCTGAAGTTCTTGAAGGTGAAAGAAATAGTTTTACCTTTATTTCAGTTCAGTTAGAGTAGCAGATCTGTAACAGCAAATAATGAATAGAATGATCAGAAAAGCTATTTGTTAAATACACTTCCAAATTGAGATTTTTGGTTTTCTCATTCATACAAAGGAGATACAAACAGTATTGTGGAAATAATGTCTTCTTCTCCAAATTGGGCTCATCTGGTAGTGATTATCATAGATTAGAATGTAGGAAATCAAGTACTCATTTCAAATGCATAAAGTATTAGCAGAAAACAATTGATTCTCTACTGACTACTAAATACTAAAGACAAATTTCAAAGATTTTTATCGAATAGACTTAAACTGTCTATCTTAAAATCATAAAAATAAATCTAAGAAAGTGACTGAAACTATTTAATAATAGTAGAAAAACGGCAAAATGCTATGTAAACCTAAACACATTGAATTTTATCAAATACTGAGTAGATAAATGTTTTGAATTTAAAAAGGAAAGATAGAAATATCTAATTCACAGGTCTGAGTTACATAGTAACTGTAACCAAAGCATATGGAAAAGAAATAAGCTTATGAACTTTGAATTGAATGTGAATTCTCTTTTACCAAATTAAGGAATGAAAAGACCCAAATCCATGCAATTAAAAATGGCAAAGGCTAAATCACAACAGATTCTGTTGAAACCCAGATTATCATTAACTACTTTGAGAACTTGTGCTCTCCTAAAATGTAAAATTCAGAATAGATGAATTTCTAGATATACACGAACTAGTGAAGCTGAACCGAGAAGACATAAAATACTGAATAAGCCAATATTAGTGAAATTGAAGGGGGGAAACTAACAAGTAAGGAAAGCCCAGGTCCTGATGAATTCACTGCAAAATTCTGCAAGAACTTTAGAAAAAATCTAACACCAATACACCTAAATCTCTTTAATGAAGTGGAAAGAGAATCAGTACTCCCAAAGTCATCTCTGGAAGAAAGCATTGCTGTGATTCCAAAACCAGAAAAGCATCTGACCAAAAAAGAGAACTGCAGGACAATTTCTTTAATGAACGTAGATGTAAAAATCTTCAATAAGATACTGGCAAACAGAATGCTGCAAATCATCAAAAAGATTATATATCATAACCAAGTCGGATTTATTCCCAGGATACAAGGATGGTTCAACATACACAAATCAATAAATGTAATACACCACATAAGCAGAAGCAAGGACAAAAATCACATGATAATTTCAATGATGCAGAAAAAACATTTGAGTAAATCCAACATCTATTCATAATTAAAAACCCTGAAGAAGGGCTGGGGATTTAGCTCAGTGGTTCTGCCACCTGTGATGCAAGTGCAAGGTCCTGAGTTGGATCTCCAGCACACACAAAAAAAAGAAAAAAAGAGAGAAGAAAATAGAAATAAAAGGTCTTTATCTCAATTCAATAAAAGCCACCTATGACAACATCATACTAAATGAAGAGAAGTTGAAATCTTTCCCTTTATAATCAGGAGTAAGACAAGGATGTCCATTATCACTACTTCTGACCAATATAGTTCTCAAAACATTAGCTAGAGCAATAGATAAGAGAATGAAACAAAAGGGGCATGAATAGGAAAGGAAGAAGTTAAGTTATCACTATTCGCAGATGACATGATCCTCTGTGCAAAAGATCATCGAAACGCCACCAAAATACTCCTAGAACTCGCAATCAAATTTAGCAGCACAGCAGGATACAAAGCTAACACTCAAAAATCAATAACATGCCTCTACACCAATAACAGCCTCACTGAAGGAAATTAGGGAAACAATATCCTTCACAATTGCACCCAGAAAAATAAAATACTTAGGAATTAACCTAAGTGTTATGGTTCATGTCTACATGTCTCTCCAAAGCCTCATATAGTCATAAGTAGGGCTTTTTCAGAGGGGGCTGAATCTAGTGTGTGTGGCATGATGCTAGGATTAAGGGGAAGTGGACTAAATCAGTCCACTGATTGGTTTGGTACCACCCTGATCCTAGTAGCCTGGATACACATAAGGGACAAAGAGAGGCATGCTTCATCCCTCTTGCTTTGCTATTTTCTGGCTGCCACGAACTGTTTCTTCTCTGCAATGCCTGTCTGCCACGCCAGCCTGCTTTGGAGCCCGCCAATGATGGGCTGAAATCTCTACAAACTGTGAATTACATAAACCCTCCCCCCTTTAACTCTGGGAGTTTGGTATTTTGTCTCAGCAATGATAGAAAAATAACTGAGACACCCAGAAAAGGAGAAACTTCCACAACAAAATCTACAGTACTCTGAAAAAGGACTTGTGTATTCTATTTGAAAGGAATTGCTTGTAAATAAGTAGCATTTGTTCTCTGTCTTTGGTAATACAAAGGTGAAGGTATTTTACACCTAGATAATAGCATCAGTGTTAAAGGAGACCTGGGCTCCTGCAGCAATTTAACTCCACCATCCCTTTTTTTGGTTACATTTTTCATTGCCCAAGATGGCTGCCGCCGCCCAACCATTATTTCCGTAGCACACCCGTGAAGTTTTCACTATCTAGTCTAGGTTGATTTTGAACTCAGCCCAGGCTGGTCTTGAAGGCCCAGCAATCTTCCTGCCTCAGCTTCTTGAGGACTGGGATTAGAGGTGTGTGCCACCAAGCCCAGATTCCTTTTTTAAATTAATTAATTTTGTTGGTACATTTAAGGTATACAATGTAGTGACATTCTGCGTCACTAGAAATTTGCACCTTTACATAATCCATCTTGGTTCTTATTTTTTCCCACTCCCCTACTTTCCCTTCAACCCCTCCATCCCTCCCTATTTACAAAGACTGTTTCCATTTTTTTCTTTTTCTCACGTTAATTCCATTTCCATCTGTCTTTCCCCTACCCCTCTCCTTTCCCCTTCCATTTTGCATCTTTTATTTTCTCCCTATTTCACATTATCTATTATACCTTTTAGTTCTTATTTACACTTTCACTTTCTCACACTAGAGAAACTGGTATTTATACACGTGTCCTATTTATCTCACTCTCACCTAAATTTGCATCCATTTAGCTTTAAATGTCTCTAGTTTCTCATTCTTTATGGCTGAGTAGTATCAATTTTATAAAAAAGAAAAGCCATATTTTCTTTTTTTGTTTTGTTTTTTTGAGACAGGGTCTCACTGTATAGTTGAGACTGATCTGGAACTCACTATGTAGCCCTGGCTGGTCTCGAACTCACAGAGATCCTCTTGCCTCAGCCTCCCGAGTGCTGGGATTACAGGCATGAGCCACCACACCCGGCACAGCCACATTTTCTTTATCTGGTCTCCAGTTGATGAGCATTTGGGCAGTTTCCAAGTTTTAGCTATCACAAATTGCGCTGCTATGAACACAGGTGCACATATATCACTGTGGTCTGATTCTTTTAATTCTTTGGGAAAGGTATCCAGCAGGGGGATAGCAGGGCCAAATGAGACCTCCAATCCTAGTTCTTTGAGCTATCTCCATACTGATTTCCACAGTGGTTGCACCAGTCTACACTCCCACCAGCAGGGGAGCAGCATTTCTCTTTCCCCACAGCCCTGCCAGCATTTGTCATTGGTTGACTTCAATGGCAGCCGTTCTTTCTGGTGTGAGGTGGACTCTCAGTGTTGTTTTCATCT